GAAAAAAACACCCCTCATTAAGAAATCTTGCTGGACAGCTTGTTTGGATAAATACAGCAGATTAGGGAGAAACGCCTCCCTGTGTCTAGTTACAGCAAAAGGCCGCTGTAACTGGACTTCATCAGAAGAGCAGTCACAAGTAGGCTTTGGTGTCGGACTTGCGGGTCAGAGGCCTAGCTCTGTGCTCTGCACAGCTTACCTACTGAAGTTTTCTCACCTGTGAAATGGGGGGACAACGGGACCGACCCCTCAGGGTGGTAGTGAAAGTAGATGATTTGTACACACTGTTAACTGCCACTCCAGGCCTTCTTTACTGACCCAGTGCTCGTTTTGTGTGAGGCAGCCTTTCCAGGTGACAGGTCGAGCGTGGTGCAAGACTAAGCCAATCAGGAAAATCCCGTTCCTGGAATTCCTTACTTCTCTTGCAGGTAGGTAGGGGGTCAGCTCTGGCCAACAATATTTAAAAAAATTTTTTTGAGATGGAGTCTTGCTCTGTCACCCAGGCTGGAGTGCAGTAGCATGATCTCAGCTCACTGCAACCTCCACCTCTTGAGTTCAAGTGATTCTCCTGCCTCAGCCTCCCCAGTAGCTGGGATTACAGGTGCCTGCCACCACGCCTGGCTAATTTTTTTTGTATTTTTTAGTAGAGATGAGGTTTCACCATGTTGGGTCAGGTTGGTCTCAATCTCCTGACCTCGTGATCCGCCCGCCTTGGCCTCCCAACTGCTACTATGGGGTAGCAGTTAACAGTGTGTACAAATCCACGCCTGCTGGGATTACAGGTGTGAGCCACCATGCCAGCCATTAAAAAATTTTTTATCAAAAATTTATAGGCCGGGCGCTGTGGCTCAAGCCTGTAATCCCAGCACTTTGGGAGGCCGAGGCGGGTGGATCACGAGGTCAAGAGATCGAGACCATCCTGGTCAACATGGTGAAACCCCGTCTCTACTAAAAATACAAAAAAATCAGCTGGGCATGGTGGCGTGTGCCTGTAATCCCAGCTACTCAGGAGGCTGAGGCAGGAGAATTGCCTGAACCCAGGAGGCGGAGGTTGCGGTGAGCCGAGATCGCGCCATTGCACTCCAGCTTGGGTAACAAGAGCGAAACTCCGTCTCAAAAAAAAAAAAAAAAAAAAAAAAAAAAATTTATATATGTATGTTTTAGATGGAGCCTCACTCTGTCACCCAGGCTGGAGTGCAGTGGTGCAATTTTGGCTCACTGCAACCTCCATCTGGCTGACAATATGTACACAGAGGTGCACAGGGGTTCTGGGTAAAGTTCTAATACATGGATAGGTTTCCTTGCCCTGCCTGCCTCTTCCTGCTTTGAATGCACAATCTGCAGTGAATTTATATATTTCTTCTCTCAATCCTGGTACCATTCAATTCTATGTGGCGGAGAATACTGTCTCCATTTTACAGTTCTAGAAACCAGGGTTCAGAGAGGACAGGTCTCCTCCCTAAGGCCATGCAGTCAGCAAGTGGCAGAGCTGAGATTCAAGTCCAGGGAGACTGACTTCAGCATATGTGCACCTCACTGTTCTGCCTTTCTGCCACTGAGCTCTAGTCCTAGCAGAAGGCAGTGGGTCTTCTCTCTAGCCCAGAAAACCAGACCCTACATATCAGAAACCAAATATGACAGTACCTCTTCCCTGCTCCGGGCCTTCCAATGGCCTGAGGGGCACTGTCCAAGCTCTTTGCAGTGGAATCCTTGGCTTCCCAAACCTGGCCTCTGCCCGCCTCTTTCCACTGCACTCAGCTACACCCACTCCCTGATTCTCTGCTCCCAGGACCCTCCACGCACCTTCCTGCCTCCAGCCCTTTGCTGAAGCGGTACACTATCTTTCAACGCCATATTGCCCCCGCATGCTTGGGAAATGTGTATTCATCCTTCATGACTCAGAAAAGATTTTCCTAACACACTGGCTGGGTTATCTGGGCTCCCGCACCCTCAGGCTCATCCATCAAGGCATGTGGGGAATAGCTGTTGCTCTGGCTGGCCCAGCATCTGTTCCCTGGCTCTGGAGAACTGCCCTCCCCTTGCACACTTCATTCTGGGGGGCTGCCAATTCTAATACTCTGCCCCCAGGCACTGGAGTGGACAGTGTCCCTGGCCTGTCCATCACAATCCTCCATCTCTCCAGTGGGAGTGTCTGGCTCATGGGCCAGGCCAGGACTTACAGGTTTATTCAGGCCAAAGGTGGGAGAAACCGGTTTTCCTCTGGGGTCACTAAGCTGGGACCACAGAATTTAGGAGCTGTTTGTGGCCATGAAGCTCTCTCCAATGCAGCGAGAAAGCCTGTCTACAGCGGTGGAGTGAATCACAAGAAAGACAGCTGTTTCTTGACTCCCTGAGTGGAATCTCCCCAAATCTCCCCCTCCCCCAAACTGCCTGTCGCCATGAGCCAGTGCTTCCATGGCACGCACTTGCTGCTGCCTGTCCCCCGCAGCGTCTTCCTCGCTTCCTTGCTAGCATGCCTGGGATTCTGTTCCCCTCTTTGAGCCTTGTAATCCCAGGAGGTGATTCTCCGCTAGTCTAAAGCTTAAACTCTAAGCCAATCGTGCTTTCCTACCCCGTCACTGATGAATGGTTTAGACCTGTGCCTGTGACCCAGTTTTGGCCAACAAAGTATGAGGGAGGCTGCACAGGAGATTCGGGAAAAACCATCCCTCCCTGAGACACCATTTCCCTTTTATTTTTCTGGACATGGCTGCGTGAGGAGTCAGCGCTAGAAACTGTGGCAGCCGTCTTGGGACCATGAAGGGATGACCTAAGGGCGGCGGTGGACATGCTGAGAAGGCTGGGGTGGGAGCACTGATGTAACCTTGGCTCTGGGTGAAGAGAGTGCCATGAAGCCACTCTAAGCCTTCTAGCCCGGGCTTGCTGTAGTGTAAGATGACAAAATTTCCCCCTTGTTTAAAGAGTTATACAGGTTGAGTAACCCATATTTGAAATGGTTCAATCAGAAATGTTTCAGACCTTTTTTGAATTCTGGAATATTTGCATATACATAATGAAATATTTTGGGGACAGAACCTAAGTTTAAATGGACATGATCATAGCTCCCTTTGGCCTGAAACTCCCAGGTTCAAGTGATCCTCTTGCGTCAGCCTCCCAAGTAGCTAGGACTACAGGTGTGTGTCACCATGCCTAGCTAATATTTTAGTTTTTTTGTAGGGACAGGGTCTCGCTGTTACCCAGGCTGGTCCTGAACTGCTGGCATCAAGTGATCCTCCCGCCTCAGCCTCCTAAAGAGTTTTACAATACTTAAAAATATTTTTCTGCATGAACCACAGTTCATGTTAAGTCCTTATGTGTGGAATTTTCCACTTGTGGTGTCATGTCAGTGCTCAAAAAGTTTTGGGTCCTGGAGCATTTTCGATTTCAGATTTTCTTTCGGATTAGAGATGCTCAATCTGTCGGTGGATTTTCTATTACTTATAAACAATGGATACACTGAAGAACAAAACCAAGGCAGTTTGAGAGGCATGGGATAGAGAGCAGGGACATTCCGAGGGGATCCCAGTGAGGGGTGCTACAGGTCTCGGGTTAGAGGTTTCCTCTCCCGGAAAGCCTCTGCATGCACCTCCCAACCCCCGGGCTGGATTAAACGCTTCCCCTCCATGTCTGCTCCTATTTTGGCTCATTTCACATCATGTGCACCATGACCAAGTGGCCAGAGGCCAGGCCTGAGAAGGATGAACGCAGCCAGATGAATCAATGAGGAAAGGGAAACCAGGCTGGAGAGCCACAGGAGGAAGAGGTACATGGGGAAGAGATAGGGAGATGCACTGACTGAAACAGGAACTGTGAGGGCAAGGCCTGGTGGGGGTGGGGGAAGGGGTTCCCTGAGGTGAGGTGGTCACTTACATTTTATTGGTGCCTCAAAGGACTTGGCCACTGTCACCATCACATTGGTGCCAAATACCTAGAAGGAGAGAAGAGTAGTTTGAGGGGAAGTCAGGGGCTGGGGGAAAAAAATGGCTGTCCCTGGGCTTCTAGATGTGCTGCTGCCTGAGACCTAGTGGGAGTGGGGCAGGGAGCTGGGAGGGGCTCCAGTACAGATCTGAAGTTGGGGTGAGGTAGCCACTGATACTGCTTCTAGGCAACAAAGAGGGGAATTTTGAGGGAGTACAGAAAGAACCTCTGAAGGCCCAAGCCAGGCAGCCTATGTTTGTTCATGGTTCTGCTCCTCTCAAGTGATAAAGTCCCCCAGCGCCACCCACTCAAGAGGGTAAGAGGCTGCCTGGGGCCAGGGAAACAGTGCCTGAGTTAGGCTGACCTCAGTCCCTCCGTGTTGCCTCTCAGAGTGAATATGAGAGGCATCACAGGCCAGGGCTGGTGTGCAGCTGAGCACAGCTAGTCTGTCTTCCCAGGTCAATGCCCTTTCTGGGCCCATTCATCAACATTCTTCCACCCAACCTGAACTTCTCTGAGTCTCAACTCCCTTGCTGAGGGAGCTGCTGGCAAAGACACACAGGTGGATGGAGTGTGCTCCCAGAAAGAGGTGGAATCTGTTCTCTCTGGCTCCATCTCACAGATGGGCCCAGAGAGGACTCTGGGGTCTAGACCTTCAGCCCCAAACAGCTGCTCTCCATCAGATGACTGGCACTTGGGCCAGAGAGGCAGGGTAGTAGGAAGGTGAGATGGCCCTGGAGCCAGACATCCTTGGCATCTCTGCCTGACTCACCCAGAAGACATCATAGATGAAGAGTCCGCCCAGCAGGATGCAGCCAGTGCTGACATTGTTGAGGTGCAGGAGCTCTACTCCATTAAGGGAGAAGGCCAGGCCAAAAAGGTTGTTGGCAATCCAGTGCTGAGGAAAATGGGGAATGAGACCGGCTTGCTGTGCCCCACCCTGCCCTGTCAACCCCATCCTCCGCTTCTGCCCAGGCCCTGGCTACTCACCTTCCTCAGCAGGTACCAGACGCCAACGATGCTGCTCAGGCCCAGGCACACCAGGTCCTTGGTGTCAAATTCATAATTGACGATTTCTGAGCAGAGAGGCCGGGTAAGTCCACTCCCCGGGGCGGGGCTGCCCCTCCCACCTGTCAGCCCCTGGACGGAGGAGGGCATGGCTGTGGGCACTGTCAGAGGTTCACAGGCTGGGGGGCTAAGCCTTGGCTGCCCCACGTTGGTAGGAATTTCAGGAATGGGAGAGCTCACTGGAGCCACCCCAAGCCCTCCAATTTCCTAGAGGAGGGAATGGAGGCCCAGAGAGAATTCAAGCCTGGCACAGGGTCAGTGGGAAGTGGTCTTTGGTGTTAGAAGCACAGGCGTTGTCACTTGTAGCTGGGTGACCCTGAGGGAGGCAGTTCCCTCTCTGAGCTTGTTTCTTTATCTGTAAAAAGGGGATAATAGCACCCCCTTTTAGGGCTCCTGTGGGGAATAAGAAAGTCCTTACAATGCATTCAGCACAGTGCCTGGCACATAGTGGGTGCTCAGTCAATGTCAACTGCCACTGAGCCCAGGTCTAAAAGAAAGTCTGAATTAATTCTGGAATCTTTCTACTTTGCCACCAAAGAGATGAAGAAGGTTAGCGGCAGCCTTAGTTCACTAGCAGACGATGAAGAAGCTAAGAAATGCAGGTCTTAAGGAAAGGCAGGAGTCCCCAAGGCTGCTTTTTTTGGGGGGGCCTTGTGGTAAACATCCTGATGTTAGGACATTCTTGATTGCTTCCAAGCTTCCTAAAAAGAGGACAAGAGAGGCTGTGGAGCCTGAGTCACAGGGTCCAGCCACTGCTTTCAGATTCCAGAGTGTAGCCGACTGCTTGCTGCTTGTCCCCTAATTTGTTTTTTCCTCTGTGGTAACAGCACCCTGATTCGTTTTCTTTAAAGTATCTGTTAAAACTTATTTAGTATAACCACAGAGGCAGTGTTTTCACGCTGTTACACACAGACACAAACACACATACAGCACGATCAATATCCACATTTGGTCCCCCAAACGCATTCCTTCTGAGGCTCATTTATATGTCTTCATGTGCCACAGCCCATCATTTAAATAATGGATGTTTTCAATGCCAATTCCTTTGTTGACTTTCTCAATGTCTTCTGCAGACATCTTCATGACCCCAACACACAGAGCATGTTGTTTTCCTTCCGCTGTGACGGCAACAATCGTATCTACTGCAGCAGGGTACAGCTTAGCTCCAGGAGAAGTTAAACCTGGACACATAATATTTGCTCCGCTGAGTACAAATTTGATAGCTCCTTTATCAACCTGCTGGTGTGGCAGGATAAAAGGGTATTTGTGAAGCAACCTTAGAGTTGGACAAAAAGGCCCCTTTCTTTGTCTAAAAAACAGTAATTCCCCACTTACGGTAAGGATTTCTGTATGTTCGTGGCATCGGACTATTTTGACAGGATCTTTCTTAGGCATGATTTGACTAAGCCATGGTTCAATACCTGGAAACTGCTCTATCAGTTGGCTCTTAATGCCCTTAATAACTGACGTTTTCAACTGGATGCAGTTGGACACACTTTCCTTTTCATCAAACTTCTTGAACATGATCCAGGGTGAAGCGGGCGAGAACAGGGAAACAAACGGAATCCGGAAGGCTCCGGCAGTCATCCGCAGGAAGGCCGGCACGGGCGCCACGCGGACTGTCGGACAGTCAGAGCCGTTGTCGCTAACCGGAAGATGACACAGCTAGCGCGCTTTACGGCTCGGTGAAATATGACAACTTCCGCTCTCTAAAAGCCACGTGACGACAGTGCTTGGTCCGCTCTTCTTTCGACTGCTGATTCCTCCAATGAGGATCGCTGAAACAGTAGCGCTTGAGAAGCAACAAGTGATAGGAATGCTTTCTTCTTGCCGGAGACTGGAGGTGCGCAACCTGATGAGTTAGTTCTAACCGGACAAGAGGCCGACTCACAGCCATTTTCCAGCTTCTCATAGCTAAATGCACCCCGGATATGGATGTCTCGCCTTCCCTCTGGGTGGACAGTGGAGTGATGACACCATCCTGATCCGAGGGCCAGCACTGGATATGGCGGAGCATGAGAGAGATAGGGCCTGGGACCTTGAAGACTCTGTGGTACAAGCTTAGCTGTTTTACTATTTTATTTATTTATTTTTTAAGACAGGGTCTTGCTCTGTTGCCTAGACTGGAGTGCAGTGTTGTGACCGTGTCTTACTGCAGCGTCAAACTCTAGGGCTGAAGTGACCCTCCTGCGTCAGCCTTCCAAAGTGTTGGGATTACAGGAGTGAACCACCGTGACTGGCCAACCTTAGTATTTTTTGTTTTGTTTTGTTTTGTTTTTGAGACAGGGTCTCACTCTGTTGCCCAGGTTGGAGTGCAGTGGCGCCATCTCGGCTTACTGTAACCTCCACCTTCCCAGGTTCAAGCGATTCTCCTGCCTCAGCCTCCCGAGTAGCTGGGATTGTAGGCACACGCCACCCTGGCTAATTTTTTTGTATTTTTAGTAGAGACCGGGTTTCCCTACAATGGCCAGGCTGGTCTCGAACCCCTAACCTCAAGTCATCTGCCTGCTTCAACCTCCCAAAGTGCTGAGATTACACGCGTGAGCCACCTCGCCCAGCCCAAGCTTATCCTTAAAATAAAAAAAATAAAAAAAGAAAAGTTTATTTGACAGAAGTTCCTCAGAGATGCACAAAGCAATCATATAAAATTGCTGCCGGTTAGGGACAATGCAGAAGGTGGTAGGCACCAGTAAGCGAGAGTGCTATATTCCACAGGCTTAGTATTTTACACAAGAGAAATACCTGCTGGGCGGGGTGGCTCACGCCTGTAATCCCAGCGCTTTGGAAAGCTGAGGTGGTGAGGTGGGTGGATTACTTGAGGTCAGGAGTTTGAGACCAGCCTGGCCAACATAGCAAAACCCTGTCTCTACTAAAAATACAAAAAAATTAGCTAGGTGTGGTGGCACACCCCTGTAATCCCAACTATTTAGTTGGCTGAGGTGGTAGTGAGCTAAGATCATGGCACTGCACTCCACCTTGGGTGACAGAGTGAGACTCAGACTCAAAAAAAAAAAAAAAAAAAAAAAAAAAAAAGAAACAAACCTGCTATTCGGTCAAACTACTGATATTCTTGTTACAGCATTTGAATCCATACCCTAATTTGCAAATCCCAGGATCTCCACAATTCCCCATAGTTTGCTTTTTTTTTTTTAATTAATTTTTTTGTAGAGATGAGGTCTCACTATGTTGTCCAGGCTGGTCTCAAATTCCTGGTCACAAGTGATCATCCTGTCTTGGCCTCCCAATGTCCTGTGATTATAGGCATGAGACAGTGTGTCTGGCCAGTTTTTATTTTTGAAAAAGAGCTGTGGAACCCCCTTTTCAAACCTTAGGTGAGGCAGTGATCACACTAAAAATGTACACAAATAAAACAGTCATGAAGGCCAAATTTTACTGAGTGCTTACTATGAACCAAGCAGCGTGCTGAATGCTTTCCACTTATCATTGACTTGCCATCTTAACAACGTGACCATAAAGGAGGTACTAGATTAACACTTTCATTTTACAGATGAGAAAAAAAAAAACAACAAAAACACCCAATGCTCAGAGAGGTAAGGCATTCTCCCAGGGTCCCACGTCTAGGCAGCAGCAGAGTTGGGATGTGAATCCAGGCCGAGATTCCAGAGCCCACTTCTTCCATCATTTGCTCTATTGGAGATCCCCAGTAACGGAGAGACAAAGGGAATGGCAGGGGAAGACACCCGAGGCACTCTACAGGGAAAGGTGGGCAGCACTGACCTTCCTTGTTTTCCCCAGAACCCTGTGTGAAGAGCAGCTGGTACTGTCGATTTGGAAAGCTGGCTGGAAAAAACTTATTCATGAAGGGGCTGGAAGGAAAGACAAAGCAAGTTGGCAAACAGAGCCCCCGTGGGTGGTCAACCCTAACACTCCCCTACCCCATCTATAGCTGGCACCCTTGAAGCTGTCCTGATAGGCAGGTGTTACTGTTTCCACTCTACAGATGTGGAGACCCAGGTCCTCAAAAGGTAAGTGACTTGCCCAGAGTCACACAGGGGGCCTATAACTCAGCTGAGACTCAAACCTAGGTCTTGGTACTCCTAGTGATTTCTGTACCGCCTTTTTGTTAACATCAAAGAAATGCAAAGTAGAAGTAGATCGACTTTCAGGCAAAATACCATGTCTGGTAGAGCAGAGGAGTCTGGCCCACGTGCCACCTATGAGTCCCCTGTCAAGAAGCGTATTTGTGGACTCCCTTCCAGACCTATCAAGTTAGATGACCTGACAGTCACCCCCACCCTACTTCATGACTTGACATTCTGTTCTCCGACAGGCTTGAGATTTTTACAGACTCAGCTGGAATCAATCAGCCAGATGAATCATAGCCCCTGGGCAGGATCACCATCACATTCACTCCTTCCACAAGTCCTCTCTGTTGTTTAAGACTAGCTTGGCCTCCATTCTGATTACCCAGCATGCCCCACCCTCCTAGCCAGGCAGGAAGCGGAGACCTTTTCTGGACCTTCTTCAGAGCAAGATTAGCTGACCAGGGCCTCTTGACCCAGCCTGGTGGTAGTACTGTGGAGCCCAGCCCTGAGGCCTGCTCTACCATGTGGCTGTGGGAGAGCCATTTCAGTGGCTCTGTCTCCCTGGACCTCAATCTTCTCACCTGTAAATAGGGCTAACATCACCACCCATCTCAGAGCATTGCTATGAAGATATGAAAGAAGGGAGGATGAATGCTATGCCTGGCACAGGGTCTTTAGCAGGGATGAGGCAGGCCAGGAGGTACTCAGGTCACAGTGATAAAGGGAAGGAAAAGGAACTCTCTTCTAAAGATGCTGGTGGTATGGAGCAAGGTATAGATTCAAGAGTCATCTCTGGCCAGGCTTGGTGGCTCACGCCTGTAATCCCAACATCTGGGAGGCTGAGGTGGGCAGATCACTTAAGGTCAGAAGTTGGAGACTAGCCTGGCCAACATGGTGAAACCTCACCTCTGCTGAAAAAATACAAAAATTAGCCAGGCAGCCGGGTGCGGTGGCTCATGCCTGTAATCCCAGCACTTTGGGAGGCCGACAGGGGCGGATCACAAGGTCAGAAGATTGAGACCCTCCTGGCCAACATGGTGAAACCCCGTCTCTACTAAAAATATAGAAAAAAATAGCTGGGCATGATAATATATGTTTGTAATCCCAGCTACTTGGGAGGCTGACGCAGGAGAATCGCTTGAACCCAGGAGGGGGAGGTTGCAGTGAGCCAAGATTGTGCCACTGCACTCCAGCCTGGGCGACAGAGTGAGACTCCATCTCAAAAAAAAGAACCATCTTTGGGCCTCCATTTCTCCACTTGTCAAAGAGCCAATCCCTCCTAGCCTGTAGGGCTATGGCATGAATGATGGGAGGGCTTTGTGAACAGAGGTGCAGCAGGTGCAAGGGCAGAATCAGAAATGGCCTCCCACAGCAGGGCTCTAAGGCGGTGGGAGGCAGAAGCTGGGTGGCTGACTGGAATAACTTTCAGATTAGTTTGCCGAATCAGTTTTGAGGGAGTCTGAAGCCAGGGTGTGAGTGCAAGTATAGATGGAGGCAGAGGGGCAGCCTGAGGAGCTAAGCCCTTTGCCCAGCTTAGCTGGTCTTTTCCTTAGGAGCTTGGTGCTCAGCTTCTCAACCGGCAGAGTGTGACAATTAAGGACATGGACTCTGGAGCCAGACTTCCTGGGCTCAAATCCTAACTCTGCCCTTATTAGTGGTCTGCTCTTGGGAAAGTTACTTAACTGCTCTGTGCAGCTGTTTCCTCATCTGGAATGCCACAACACCTTTCTCGAAGGGCTACTCAGAGAATTAAATCAGCACCCTATAAATGTAACTGCAGCTTCAACTCCAAGTAGCAAGTCTCTAGATTGACATCTTTGTTATTCTGAGAAAAGAGGGGCTGCTCAGCTCTAAGAGTCAGGCGACCTGGCTAGCACAAGTCTGTGGACATGAGAGCAGATGTCTCATCATCTTCACCCCACCTTGAGGTGAAGATGCCTGGTGCCTGCTAGACGTTTGCTAAATGCTTGCTGGATGACTCTGAATGCAGACTTGTAGCAGGCGGATTCTTCCTGGCCCTCAGTGGCTCACGTCAAACGTAAAGGTTATTGCTTCCCACTGACAAGCCACATCCTGGTGCCCTTCTCCCCTGGGTGTGGAAGGCAGGGTGAGTGAAACTGGTGACGTTGCTTCCTCCTCTGGGGTGGCAGATCTGGCCCTTTTTTCCCTCTAAGGTCAGCTGGGTGGGGCATGAGCTCAGACACAGATGATGAAGTTAGCCAAGGTTTCCTTTGCAGGAAGGATGTCTTGGGTTTGAATCTTGGTGACTTTACAAGGTAAGGCAGGCTATGGCCCCTGCCTTCCTCCAATACCGCAGGCTGGGGTTTGATCCCAAAGAGGCTTAAAGTGGGCTAGGAGGTGGCAGTGGAGGTGGCAGGGATCCCAAGAGAACCTCAGCCTGTGCTGACACAGCTCAGGTGCAGCTCTCTGCAGCCTTTCACCAGGCTTCTCCGCTGTCAGTCCCCGGGAGACCACAGGTTCAGTGACAGGAGGTGGCCAGCCCACCCTCTTTAAGCTCCCTCCCTTCACTTTTGCCAAAATGGAAAGAATAGTGGTTTTGGAGTCAGACATACCAGAGCACAAAACCTC